GCTGTGGATGCCTAGCCTAGGAAGGCAGAGATTTATTTACCCCTGCACTGGAGCATGCCAGGTACAGAGCTGCTGCAAACACGCTGCCCATGGGAGCCACCAGGCCAGCAGTGGAGAGGCTCAGAAGGCCACCCCTGTGGTCGCAGCCACACACCAGGCAGCTGCCCCTTGGTCCCAGTCAGCACAGACCCTGCAGGGACAAGGTCAGCAGACGCCCTGCAAGGGGGACAGGGAGTGAGGAGGCAGAAGGGGCCGAGGCCTGTCCTGTCCAGCCTGCCTCTCCCTCAGGCCCCTGGCACCAGGCTCACCTGGAAACCCACGAGGTCGCAGCTGATGGCTGCGTCCATTGCTCAAATCTCACCCAGCTTCTTCCCCACTGGGTCCCCTGTGCCTTGGACCCACCTGTGTCCCTGTCCACCTTGATCTCTGCTCCACCCCCGAATTCTCAGGTTGACACTGCAGATGTAGACCCCGATGCTGGCACCCAGGACCTGGCTCTGGCCCTGCCCCAGCTTCAAGCACCATGCCTGGGTAGCGCTGCTCCCACACCCGCCCTCCCTCGGCTTCTCCTGGTGTCTGTGGGCCTGCAGGTTGGGCTCCTGCTGCCCAACTTCTTTCCTTGCCAGCAGAGCCACTCCAGCGTCGAGAGCAGGGGGTACAGGGCCCCACCAACACTGCCCACTCCTGTTCCCGCCCCTCCAAGGCGGTGGGAAGGAGGCCCCGCACACCGGGGTCAGCGGAAGAAAGGGTTGAGTTGGGTGTGCCCTCTCTTCAGCAAGCTGCCCCTCTAACACTCATTTTCTGAACCCTGCCCCCATTTGGAACACTCTGCCCCTCCCTTGGGGAGCTCCGTCCCTCCGTAAGGGGGATGATTCTGACGATTCTGTTTCTAGGCAAACTGGCAGTTGCAGGCTTTGGCTAGAAGTGCTCTGCCCTAGCTGAGCTGGCTTCGAAGAGGGAGATGTGACCGTGGGCCATGTGTGGGTGCTGGGGGGCACCCAGGCTCCAGCGCAACCTCCCTCCCGGGGAGCTTGACGTGCTGTGACAGAGGTGGCCACAGAGCAAGCTCACCCGGCTAAGGCAATAATCCATTTTTGCCCTGAGGAGTGAACTGTGTCGCACTGCGTGAAAAAGTGTCTGTCCCTCCCAGTAGCACAACCCGACCCTGCTCCCTGCACACCAGCGACCAACCTCAGCGTCTAAGGACACCCCCTCCTTCCCAGCCAGATTGCTGCCCAGGAGCCCAGAGGGGTTGAGTGGCTCTGCAGGGTGGCTCCCTCTCCAGTTTGGCTCTTTAACCTCATAACCTCCTCCTGCCCCTACTGCAGAAGAGGGCTCTCTGCCAGCCAGCCATGGCGTCGTCCCCAGAGGCACCGGGGACAGAGGACCTCAGGGCGAACTGGATCCAGCGCCAGTAGCCCTGGACTTGAAGCCCGGTTCTTCTGCTTCCCAGTGTGGCCCCGTCAAGCACTTACTTAACAACCTTGACCTCCATTTTCTCATTAATAAAGTAGGACAGTAAGCGGGGGGTCCAGAGGTGAAGGCTGACCCCAGAGCCCTACACGCAGCAAGGGACTCTCCACCGAGTCAGGCTCTAGACTCTGTAGCTGTGACCAGAGAGAGGGGCCAGTCCACCCTGCTCCTGCTCAGGGCTGAGACTCCAACAGCCCTGGCTCTGAGTCCCTCCAGCCAGTCTTCCTGCCACACTCCCTGGGCCTCCGAGTCCCCCTCGGCAATAAGAAGAGCACGCTTGAGTCTGCTCCCAGGATCCCCCAGAGGCAGTGCGCAGAGAGCACTCCTGACATTGTCACTAACAGCAGTCAGCAATCCCAGGATATCCTGGAAATCTCAGGGTATCCCAGGGCATCCCAGGGTATTGTCGTCATTTGCCAAAACAACTCACTGTCCCCCTCAGGATGAGCTGATGCTCCGAACCCATATCCTCCCAGGCTTCAGACGGAGGAGGCCCAGGTGGTCGCCCTACCCTGCGCCTGTGACCCAGCCCAGCAAGGCTGATGAAGCGGGAGCCCTCCAGCTGCCTCTGGGCAAGCCGGCCCTGGGCCAGGCCCGGGGGAAATTTAGATCTCAGCACTAGAGTGCTGCACGCAGGGTTGCCAGATTGAGCAGATGAAAACATAGGATGCCATGCCCTTTTGGGGAGAGATACTAACAACTCATTTGGTGTTTATCTGAAACTCAGACCTGCCTGGGTGTCCTGTTTCATCTGGCCGCCGACCTGTGCACCCTGTCCCGGGCTCTGCCTCGCTGCCTCTCCCCCAGTCCCCAGTGACAAGGTGCCAGGAGGGTCTGAACTTCCCCACCAGGCCGGGCTCACAGCAAGCTCGCCAGGAATGCAGTGTCCTGAGTTGGGCCAGCTTTCTCCAGCCTCCGGGGGCATCACAGTCTTCTGTCCCCTTGCCCAGGAGGCTGATGTCCCCAGCGCGTCAGAATGTGGGACCCCAGATGTGCCTGATGAAAGGCTGTAGACCAGAGTCTCATGAAGGCCCTGGTAGCAACGTCGCAAGCCAGAAGTCAACCACACCCAGCGCCACCAGTCAGGCCCTCCCTCCCCCGCCAGCAGAACATGGAAGGCTGTGTTGGAGGCAAGGCCTTTGAGGGAGTTTCTCAACACCCTGTTCTCTCCCAGCACCCACCCTGGTCTCCAGTCAGTCAGGGGGGACAGGGGCTCTTCATGGATGGAGAAGCTGCCGAAATTGGCTGCATTCCCCGAGACCTCCACTTCTAGGGAGCAGCCGCCACACTCGCCTCCAGGGCCCACTTCCCCTTGACTCCTGGGTCCCAGGCACCCGCAGCCTCTTCCCCACCCTCTGTAGACACGGAGGACCCAGCTCGAGGGTCTCTTGCCCCAGAATCACCTCGCGAGCCCTGAGTCCTGCCCGACCTTCCAACCTGGCTGGAATTCTTGGGCTGGGCCCGGGCTGCCCAGTGACTGCCATGAACATTCGAGTTTGAGCCTCCAAGTAAGGAAACAGGAGCAGGGAAATAAACAGGGAAAGTATGTGACAGAGGAGCAATCTCTAGGACACGCAGGCTCCACCGGCCGCAAGCACAGCCAGCCCTCGGGCTCCTCAGAAGGAGGAGCTGCTGAGTTTTGCTCGGTCAGCCGGTCAGCTGGTCAGCCGGCGTGTGCAGACTGCCCCGTGGGTTAAAGCTGGTGCTCCTTCCTGCCCTCCAGGAACAGGTCCTGTTCGATGCTGCGGCTGCAGGAGCCTGGGGGGCTGGGACAGTCCCGCAACTCTCCACCTTCACTGGGTCTCAGCCGGGAAGGGTGTTTTTGGGAAGGGGAATGGCATGAGCAAAAGGGTGGAGGCTTGAAGAAGCCACTGAGTGTCCCTGGGAATCCCGGAGCACAGAGCGAGAAGCAGCAGCTGTCAGGAGTCCTTTGCTGCTGGGAGAGCTCGGATTTGACACTCTCTAACTAAAGGCACATGCTAACTTTAACAACAGAAAAATCACCCAGGGAACGTCCAGTTACACATACCTGTTTACTTCCTCCTCCAGGGAATGCTATTAAAATAACAGAAAAGGAAGTTAACAAGGGTGAACTCGAAAGCAACCGGGTCCCACAGAAGGCAGCAGAGGCAAGGGCAGAAACGAGCAGGGACGTTGGATGACAATTCAAATGTAGGGTGGTTAGGTTCAGACAACCACGAACACCAAGGGTCCCTCCTGCCCCTCTCCCACTGCTGCCACCGCCATAGGAGAGGCAGGAGCTCCGTCCACGGGAGAGCTTGAAAAGCTCTGGAACTGGGAACTCTGGGCACAGTAGGAGGTGGAGGACGAAGTGGGATGGTGTAGGCAAGTGCCACAGGAACTGTGGGGTTCCCCTCCTAGAACCCCAGCAGCTGGAGAGAGATCCCCTGGGCAGGAGATGAGAGGACCCCTTACTAGAGAAACAGAATCACCCTAAGAGGAGTAACTGCAGATAAGGCATTCTGAGGGACCTGTCAGACAAAAAGCCACCTGGCTGCCTAATCACCCTCTGTGACACAGATCAGCACACACATGCACACACACATGACACACACATGCATGCACACACAGGCACATATACACAACACGTGCACGGCACACACAACACACACATGTGCGTACACATGCACACACAACAAACATGCACACACGCACACACAACACACATGCACACACGCACACACAACACCCATGCACACACAACACACAGGCACACATACAACACACAGGCACACACACATGCGCACACGCACACCCACACAGGGCTTCCAGTCAGCCTCTGGTGTCTCATTGTACGCATGAGTCAAGCCAAGGCTCCCAGACATCTGAGAAAAGCTCTCACATCAAAGACAAACACCAGCTTGGAGAAACTTGGAGGTGGAGTGGGGGGAGCACATTCTGCAAGGAGTAGAAGTTTAAAAAGACCAAATCAATGTCCTCAGAGGAATAGAAAGATATTGCAATCATGAAGTAGGAACACAGTGCTTGTTTTAAAAATCCATAGACAAGAGAAAGTTCCTGAAAATTAAAAATATGATCACCCAAAGGAAAAGTTCAATAGAAAGAGATGGAAGCTAAAATGCCCTTGAGAAAATTAACAAAATGACTGGGGGGAAAGGGAGAGGAAAGCAAACAAAGAGATTATTCTAGGAGATTCAGCATGTTATTAAGAACTTCAGAAGCTTAGATGACCAATCAGCCCGGATACGGTGGCTTACACTTGTAATCTCAGCACTTTGGGAGGCCTAGGCAGGAAGATCACTTGAGGCTAGGAGTTTGAGACCAGCCTAGGAAACACAGCAAGATTCCACCTCTAAAAAAAATAATAAAAATAAAAATAGCCTGGCATAGTGGTGCACACCTGTAGCTCAAGATACTTGGGAGGGTGAGAGGGGAAGATCACTTGGGCCCAAGGACTTCAAGGTTGCAATGAGCTATGATCATGCCACTGCACTCACAGCCTATGTCACATCCTAGGTGACAGTGAGATCCAGAAGAAGAAGAAAGAGAAGGAGGAAGAGGAGGAGGAGGAGGAGGAGAAGGAAGGAAGAAGGAAGAAGGAGAAGAATCAGTAACATCCTACACTTTGTTGACGTCTTGGTTGATTGGTTCATATATATATATATAATTATACTGAACCTTCTAGAACTGAAAGACACAACTCTGGGTTGAAGGCTCATTGATGGCCTGGCACAGTGGTTCTCAAACTGTGGTCCCTGGACAGTAGCAGCATCCCTCCTTCCAGGTGATTCTGATGTGTGTAAGGTAAAGCTTGAGAACCACTGACCTAGCACATGAAGGTGTTCCATCAAGGAAATCCCAAACACCTGAGATACAGAAGTTCTTAAAATGCTTCCAAAAAGAAAAAGAAAGTCCACATCTAAAAAAACAAGTATTAGAACAACACCATCTTTCCAACAGCAGTCCTGGAAACTGGTGTTTTCCAAACTAGAATGAATACCAGTTTGAAGGTACAAGAGAGACAGTTCAGATGTGTAAGGATTATAGTGCATATTTCTTCCTTAAGAAGCTACTGAAACATATGTTCCTCAAAATGAGAAAGCAAACTAGCAAATTAAGAAATAGGAACACATGGAATTCAGGAAATGGGGAACTGAATATAAGAGAGGCAAAGGAAATCCTCAGGATGATGGCCTACATTGTCAATTAAATTCAACAAGTATTGATGAAGCCCTATGATGTGCCAGACACTGAACAAACATGGCAAACAAACCATTCTTACCACAGAACTTATACGGAAGAACTTACTATGCATAAACTACTAAAACTGACTCAAGATGAAATGAAAAATCTGAATAAAATAAAAACAAATGAACTGATTGAACTAGTAATTTTAAAACTTTCCACAGTGAAAAACCCAGGCCCAGATGGCTTCACTGGTAAATGCTACCAAAGAAGAATGAATGCTAATCCTTCACAATCTCTTCCAAAAATTAGAAGAAAAAGGAATACTTCCCAATTCATTCAATAAGGTTCTAGTATTATCCAGATATCAAAACCAGGCAAAGATATTACAAGAAAACTATAGACCACAACCCTTATGGATATTGATGCAAAAAAAAAAATCCTCAACAAAATACTACAAAAAAGAACCCAGAAATATAATAAAAAGAATTAATCATGACCAAGTTGTATTTTATCTCAGGAATGCAAGGTTGGTTCAACATATGAAAGTCACTCAGTGCAATATACTGTAATAATAGAATGAAGGACAAAAAACACATGATCATCTCAATAAACCCAGAACAACTGACAAAATAGAATACATTTTCGTGATAAAAAAAAAATCACTTAATGAAGCAGGAAGAGACAGGAGCTTTCTCAATATCATAAAGAGCATCTATAAAAAATTCATGGCTAATGTCATATTTAATAGTGAAAGACTGAATGTTTCCTCCCAATGGTCCAGAACAAGAGAAGGATGTCTTGAATACATCTTTCTTGTTGCAATACTGTTCAACACTGTACTGCAAGGTTTTATGATGATAATTTGGCCAAAAATATTTATTTAATAAACTAACTAAATAAAAGGAATCCAAATTGAAAAACCTCTATTCACAGGTGACAAGATCTTATATACAGAATCTTGAGGAACCCACAAAGATAAAACAATAACAAAACTGTAAGACTAATAAACAAGTTCAGCAACATTTCAGGATACAAGATCAGTGTACAAAAATAAATTACATTTCTATACACTAGCAATGAACAATCTAAAAAAACCAAGAAAATAATTCAATTTATAATAGCATCAAAAAGTACTTAGGAATAAAGTTAACACGGGAAGTATAAGATTTATACTCTGACAGCTACAAAACATTGTTGAAAAAAATTAGAGAAGACCTAAATAAATGAAAAACTATCCCATGATCACAGATCAGACAACTTAATTTTGTTAAGATGACAGTAGTCTCCAAATGGATCTACAGATTAAATGTAATTCCTATCAAAATCTCATCTTTTTTGCAGAAATTGATAAGCCAATCCTATAAAATTTACATCCAAGAGACCTGGAACAGTAAAAAACATCATGAAAAGGAAGAAAGTTGGAGGGATTGTACTTTCCAATTCCAAAACTTATTATAAAGCCACAGTAATCAAGACAACATGGTACTGGCATAAGACACAGACATATAGACCAATGGAATAGAATGGAGAGTCCAGAAATAAACCCTTACATTTATGGACAATTGATTTTTGACAATGGAAACAAGACAATTCAATGGGGAAATAGTTACTCTTTTTTCAACAAATGGTGCTGAGACAACTGGATATGCACATTCAAAAGAAATTAAGTTGGACTCCTGCCCTACACTATATATATAAATTAACTGAAAACGGAGTAAAGACCTAAATGTAACAGTGAAAACCATAAAACTTTTAGAAAAAAACAGCCATAAATCTTCATGACCCCTTGATAGGTAAACAGTTTCTTAGATATGATATCAAAATCACTAATTACTTATATAAAAAGATCAATTGGACGTAATCAAAATTTTCAAGAACCTTTCTTATGCTTCAAAAGACACCATCAAGGAAGTGAAAAGACAACCCACAGAATGAAAGAAAATATTTGCAAATCTTATATCTACTAAGGGATTTTTTTTTTTTTTTTTTTTTTTTTTTTTTTTTTTTTTGAGATGGAGTTTCGCTCTTGTTACCCGGGCTGGAGTGCAATGGCGCGATCTCGGCTCACCGCAACCTCCGCCTCCTGGGTTCAGGCAATTCTCCTGCCTCAGCCTCCTGAGTAGCTGGGATTACAGGCATGCGCCACCATGCCCAGCTAATTTTTTGTATTTTTAGTAGAGACGGGGTTTCACCATGTTGACCAGGTTGGTCTCGATCTCTCGACCTCGTGATCCACCCACCTCGGCCTCCCAAAGTGCTGGGATTACAGGCTTGAGCCACCACGCCCGGCGGGATTTTTTATTTAGAACATATGAAAGAATGCTACAACTCAATCATTAAAAAAAAAAAAAAACATAATCAAGACATGGACGAAGGATTTGAACAGACATTCCTCCAAAGAAAATATACAGATGGCCAATAAAATAAGCCCTTGAATATCATCTTTTCACCAATAGCGTGTGAGGGTTTCCATAGCACCCATATTCACCCTAACAGTTGGTAAGCTGGTATTGTCAGTAAAATGGGATCTCAATGTGATCCAATTTTAATTTTCTTAATTATTAATGAAGTTGAGCATCTGTTCCTTATCCGAAAATACCTTTATGATATAAAATTCAATTTGTAATAGCATCAAAAAGTACTTGAACATTGTTCTTAAAATTTTGAAGATATCGTTTTGCAATTTTTTTGTTGCTGTTGAGGAATTTGCTGTTGGCCTAATTGTCATTCCATTCTAGATTTTTCTGCTTTTTGTCTCTGGCTACCATATATATGTAGAATATCTATAAATAGAATTGTATCTATACTATCTATATTCTCTATTTGTCACTGGGGAGATGAAGTTTTACAAGGAATTAACTAGGTATGGATTTCTTTTTGTTTCTTCTGCTTGAGACTTTTGTATTAGGGGAATTTCTAGATTTTGCTTTTCATCAACACAGAAAATTTTTATCATTCTCTCTCTTTCAGTGTCTCTATCTCTCTTCACAGAACTCCATGTAGCATGTATTATATACCTCCTCATCCTGTCCTCTATATCTTTTAATTTCTTTCTCATACTTTTTAACTCTTTGTTTTTCTATTCTGTGTTCTCATAATTTCCTCAGCTATATTGCTAAGTCACTAATTTTCTCCTCAACTGTGTTTAATCTTCTATTTAACTCAGCCAATAGATTTTTTTTCAATGATTATATTTGCTGGTGCTAAATGTTTCATTTAGCTCTTTTTCCGATCTGTTTGATCATGCCAAATAGGCTTTGGTTGTTTGTTCCTCTTTGGGATTCTACTCTTTATTCTTTAAACATTTTATCTAACCGCTCCATCCAACTGTTTCCAAATTTGTATCCGACGATTTCAATATCTAACATCTCTGGAAGACTAAATCGTCTGTGGCTGTTTCTGCTCTATGATGTATGATGGCCTGTTTCCTTCTGCATGTGGTGATCTGTGATTATGAGCTCACGTTTGTTTCATTTGATGTGCTGGAACCCTGTGGGCCTAAATGAGGGATGTTGTCCTCCAGAGAGGGTTTGCATTTGTTTCTTTGGAGAACTAGGCAATTTTACCACTTCACACCCCTTTAGCCCTATCACAGGTCTCACAACAATGTAGAAGTCTCTATTTTTTTTATTTTAATTTTTTAATTTTTATTTTTTGAGACAGAGTCTCACTCCGTCACCAGGCTGGAGTGCTATGGTGCGATCTCGGCTCACTGTGATCTCTGTCTCCTGAGTTTAAACGATTCTCCTGCCTGAGCCTCCTGAGTAGCTGGGACTACAGGCGCCTGCCACCACACCCAACGATTTTTGGTATTTTTAGTAGAGATGGGGTTTCACCATGTTGGCCAGGCTGGTCTCAAACTCCAAACCTTGTGATCCACCTGCCTCAGCCTCCCAAAGTGCTGGGATTACAGGCATGAGCCACCGCACACAGCCAAAGGCTCAAGTTTAGCTTCTCAATCTTATAATGGGTCCAAAGCTTAGTTTCCCAATCTCAGAGCCGAGTTGGCAATTCCCCATTTCTCATTTGCTTACAATCCTTTATTCAGGTTTCATCTTACAGTTCTTTTTAGGGGGCATGAAGACGTTGCTTAGAGATTTTTTTTTTAAAACTCTCTTGTGAATTCAGCAATACATTAAGAAATATATTTGCTGTAATTTTTCCAGAATCCATCAGAATGGTCGTGGGAGGACCCTTCCTGGGTGCCTCACTCTATAGGCTTGCTCTGTTGCCCAGGCTGAGTGCAGTGGTGTGACCTCAGCTCACTGTAACCTCCTCCTTCTGGGCTCAAGCGATCCTCCCACCTCAGCCTCACAAGTAGCTGGCACTACAGGTGCGTGCTACCACACCAGGCTAATTTTTGCATTTTTTTCATAGAGATGGGGTCT